TGCCGCCAGTCAGGCAATCAGCAATGAGCTGGAACAAACCAATAGTTCAAGCGCAACAGCCCTCTGGGGTGCGAAGGAAAATTGCCGAAAGTGACATTTATGTGAGCTTGGGGTCTTAGCTACTATCATATACCACCAAACCACCATCATTGGTTTTTCTTAAGTGATCCTTTAAAATGGTGATGTGATAGCAGCTATGACCCAGTTGAGTTTCCCTCACTTCCACGCTGCCAGAATTCATACTGTTACTGATACTGCAAAGTGAAGATGGTTTGTTTCTGGATTTCATGTATGTAAGTACTTCGCAGGGCCGATCCTTTCATATTGATTCAAATTTGTTTTTGACTCAGTGGTTTGTTTGCTTGGCTGCTGCTTGGTGCGAAATCTAAGCAACAACTGTCGAGCCATTTTCCTTTGATCTTCAGCTACGTCGAGCATTTCCTCCTACCTTCTTCTCCTCCAGGGTTGGCCTAGAGCCTGTGTGCTTCTAGCATGGTGAAATCTGGATCGAGCGGAAAGGGGCGAGGCAACAGTGGCAAGGCCGCGGGGGTGAAGAAAGATCATTTGAAAGATGAAGAAGCATCTAGGCTGAAGGGGTTCTTTTCACTGCTAAAGTGGCACCATACCTTACCCATCCAATCACCATACCAGGGCTAGGACCTAGGAGTTTTGAAAATGAAATTGGTTCAACTATGTCAATGTCATAGTTCAACCTAGGTCTCTGTGTTTGAAAGGTTGGAAGGCCTACCAGCATTAAATTGTGACAGCTGAGTTTCAGGGAACCATCCAACTAGTAGTAACTTAGTAGTAGCTTGTAAGAGAATTCAAAGTATACAGTAGTAACATGTAGTAACTAGTTAGCTCTCAAACACAATTTACAACCACCAGGCCAACAAAACCACCCAAACCATGCCAACAAAGACAACACCCGCATGAACAACAATGTCATCATCATCGCCATCACCACCTTAAAAGAATGAACAAAACCCTTAAGCCTTAAGAAGAAAGCTGGAAAGACTGGGGACAGGACAAGAAGAAATGAAGAATAACAAAGAACAAAGGCACAATAAGAAAACTACGACAGTGACTAAGACTACTTTTGTTCTGCAATGACAACACTTTCACCTCAAAAACTAGGTGATGTCACCAAGTAAACAACAAACAATAAAATAGAATAGTTAAATTATATCACGCAGAATATAGTTATATGATATATATATATATATACATGCATGAACAACAAGAACAACAACTAAAAACAACAACAGCTATAACAACAACCCCAATCACCACCACAACGACCACCACCACCAACACCAACACCACTACCAACAACACCACCACCAGCACCATTACCAACAACAAGAGCAACAAGAGCAACAAGAGCAACAAGAGCAACAAGAGCAACAAGAGCAACAAGAGCAACAAGAGCAACAAGAACAACAAGAACAACAAGAACAACAACAACAACAACAATGACAACCAACAACAACAACCAACGACAACAACAACACCAACACCAACACCAACAACAACAACAACAACAACAACACCAACACCAACACCAACACCACCACCACCACCACCACCACCAACACCACCACCACCACCACCACCAACAACAACAACAAAAGTAATAACAACGACGAATGCAATGACAACGAAGAAAGTGTTATGAACAATAGCAACATGAACATCAACAACAACATCAGCACTGATGTCAATACCAACATGAACCACAAGAACTACACTGACAAAGAAATATATATATATATATTATGGTTGCCTACTATATATATATATATAACCTTCACTTGGTCCTTATCTGGTCCTCACCCTACCCATTCATTGTCATTCTGCTCCGAGGAAAGCGCATTGGTTCCAGTGGTGAAGTCTGCGGCAAAAGCGGGCGCGAAGAAGAAGATGGCTTGTGAGATTTGTGGAGCAAAGCAAGAGGACGGGCACCAGGTACACAACCCCTTGCTTCTTTAGTTGAAGAGCAGAATATGACCAGAGATTTGAACGGGGCCGTGCCTAGGGCTAAGGCTAAGGCTTAGGGTCCTTTCAATCTTCAGGTACACAGATCGCTCACTGCAATGCTCAAAGCCATTTTGGTTCAAAGGAGGGGATTGATTTCACTTTATTTTAGGGCCCCTGTTTTAGAATGGAGCATGGTTTCTCAACTCCTGAAAAGGTGAGCAGCAGGAATTACAATGTTTTTGGTGGAGGCAATCCTGTCATCGGGCCATCTGAAGCGTCTGAGAAGGGCTTAGCAGCAAGCTCAACGGTGCTGAAGGGGCCTTTCCCGAGCCCAGTCTCAGCATCTAGACTGCCAGTCTTTGGATCTCCTTTTCCAAAGAAAGACAGCGTTGCGTTTCTCGAGCCTGTGCGTTGTGCCCGGCCACAGCTGCCCAGTGATGCTGTTGGAGAAAGCAAGGGTGACTTTGAGACACCACCACGTGTTGTGATGCAGCGCAAAAGGAAGCTTGATGGCGACACGTTGAACACACCAACCAAAATCCGTACGACTACTACAACACCAGGTGCACCCAAGAAGAAGCTTAGGCCAAGTGAGTCCTTGTTCGCGAAGGCTTCTTCCACGGATGTGAAGGCCAAGTGCCCCATCTTGGCACTCTGGCTTTGCTTCGAAATGAAGCAGTTTGTTTTGTTTCAGGCTGCTCCCAAAAAGTCAGGCATGTCCATGCGTGGATTGCATTTGATGTCTGTGCATCCATGTATGGGCTCCCAAGTACACATCTTGAATTAGGTAAGTTGGTACAGATTCTGCCCTTCCCAAATTTGTTCTGATCTTGCCTGACATTCATCTCAGTCAGTCTCAGCTTGCTCAGGTAAAAAGGGATTCAGATGGGAGCAATGCTGCGACGATTGGTGAGATCAGTGAGTGTGAGTCAATTTAGATTCAGATTTTGATACATAGATGGATATACATATATACTTATGTTTGCCTCTCGGTGTGTGAAAAAAAGTGAAAGTCATCTGAAAGTCATTTTCCAACTAGGGACCACCGATGGCAATGCGATTCGTGATGTGGCTGAAATTTCGAGTGCCACACCTCGTGCACCAGAACATTTTTGACAGCGATGACGAAAAAGGGCTGTTGGCTGTTGGGTTTGTTTGCTTCTCATGGCATGTAGCAGCAGTAGCAGCGCATGCATGTGCTGTGCTGCTAGCACTGCTGGTCACTGATCGTTGGAGCTTGTTTTTTTTGGGAAGCCAAGAGAGAAACCGTACGAACTGATTTGACTTTTTTTTTGGCGCCCAAGTTCGCAATTCACCAGATGCATTGACACAGTCATAGTGGTTACAGTTTTCATGCCTGCTTGGCAAAACTCAAGAAGAATTTGAGAAAGCCAGGCCACACTGTCAAATACGGAATGAAATCACATGCGCTCCCTATTGTACCAATTGTAGCAGCCTTAGCTTTATGCATAGGCATAGACACATCACACAAATTAGTTAGGTTCGGTTATGTTAGCCGGTCAGCCTTTCCAGCTGCTTGCAGGAGGCGGCTTTTCTGGTCGGCGGCGCTGGCAGAAATCCAGATCAGCACAGGGTTGACATTTTGTGCATGGCAACCATGAAGAGGATGTGTCCAGGTGCTTCAGTTGAGGAGGTTGCTCAGCGATTTGCCCAGGACAAGGACTTCAACTTCTGTTTCAACCGTGGCCGCACAGCCATTGAGGAAGAAACCAACGACGCCTCCATTTTGCCTACTTTTGTGCCAGCATCGGAAGTTGAGAAGACCCATAGCTACGGCTTCTGTGTCTACGAGAAGTGCGGCTTGTTGCCAGAGAGTCAGATTGTGAGCCTGACAGGGAAGTCACCACAGCAGCTGAACATGGAGAAATGGACCACAGAAACTTTGTGAAGCTTTCAGTGCTCACCATTCACTGTTTCACTTTCATTTTCCCAATCGTGTCACATTGTCTTGCTTAGCAATGTGATATCTTCCTCCATTGGGTTCCTCCACTCCATTATAAAAATTGTTTCTGCATTGGGTATAATGTATGCAGTGTCTTCCAGGCATGAGGCAAGATGCTTCCCTGCTTCCTGTTGATTGCTTGCTTCCAAGGAATGTGGAAAGCCTGGTGAAAACTCACACCTCTACCTGATTTCTCTCCAAGCATTGCCACCAGATGTCAAGGATTCCTGCAAGCGCGTGAAGCTTTTCCATTCAGTGCAGGCCACTGACCATGAAAAATGGCTCACTGAGAATACCCAGCTCAGTCAGAACCAGCACAAAGATTCGATGGCTTACCTTTTCGGACTGTACGAGAAGGACAAGCCCAAGACCACCAAAGTTCCCACTCTGGCAAAGCTACTGGCCTTGTCAGGGGACATAGAAATAGTTATGGGATTGTAGAGGGCCTTAGCCTAAGCTTTTTTTGGTGGTAATCCTGAAGCTTTGGTAGTTTGGGTCAGATGGTCTAACAGAGGGTTGTGTTCCCTTGTATCTTGCAGGTAAGGGTCTCTAGATTTTCATGCCATTGGTCCTCTCATTCCTTCTTTTCTTCCACCCTCCTCCTCTCCCAATCCTGTGTCCCACTCTGGGCCTCACCCCAAGGACCCATCTGCGATCAGCTCTGTGGACTTCAGGTCAAATTATATAGCGGCGCGTGGCGTAGCGGATCTTTCATTTGGCATACCTGCCATCATTTCTTGATCATGCCTGCCAGCTGTTCTTTGAGCATGTATGGTTTTAGTACTCTTGCTTACTTACATATTTTCTGAGCTGTACTCTGGAACATCTCACTTGAGTCTCTTGACCAAGCCATGATGACACATCATCTGAGAATCTGAGACCTTTGACTCTGGCATAAATTCTGAAATGTATTCCTTCACATATACACACGCTTGCTTGATCTGCGCATTTCGTTCAAAAACAAGTGACACATACCCACACGCTTTGCCTTCCACAGAGTGTTTTAGAACGGGGATCACTCCAAGTTGGTCAAGAAGAATGTTTTATTGCTCACTGACCGTTTTACCCTAATGGTAGTGGTAGGTAGCTAGCAGGCAGCTAGCAGCTAGCAGCTTCCAGGCTCCCATTAGCTAATTAATAATTAGTCAAAGTGGGCACTGCCGCTTGTTGGGCTTGTTACTAGTTGGTAGATAGTTCCTCATAGATTAAATATGGTTTTTACTGTACTATGCTCCTGTGCTTGCAGCCTGCAACTTGCACATTGAAAAATTGAAAGGTTGCGGGCGCAAGCGGAAAAGATTGAGCAGAATCTTGAAGCCGCTGCGGAGGAGGAGAACCCTTCAGTCAATGAAGTTGAACTGACCCCTGAGGAAGAAGCGGAGCGCCAACAGCAGGTTGAGGAAGCTCAGAAGTTGAGCTCAAAGTTACTGGCTGGCTTGGCTCAGCCTGAACAACCAGCTGCTAAGAAGAAGAAGAAAGCGGCCCCAAAGAGCAAGGCGGCAGATGGTGACTCTACTACTGCCACACAGGGTGCGGGTACCAGCGGGGCACTGCTGGATGATGTGGACATGGCTTCCGAGGCTGGCAGCAAGTCTAGCAAGGCCGGAGGGAAATTTGCCAACCTTGATGAAGAGATGAAGGCGGTAGCAATTCTGCATTTTGCTGAGCGGGAGAAGCAAGGCATCAGAGGCCCTGTTTCCTGCAAGTCATTGCAGGCTCTGAAGCTGTCATCCTTCTTCGTGGCAAACACTGACCATGAACAGGGTCATGCGCTCGCAGGGGTGGGGTGTTCCAAAAAAAGAAAGAGAGGTAAGCATTGGGTCATTTGGCCGTTGGGTGCTTACGGTTTACTGAATTGTTTACTAGTTTTGTTAACACTGACCAACCACTAGACACAGCCTGGGTAGCAAGCACTCTTCAAATCAATCCCCTTTGGACCCATTACAGGCCAAGAAGATTGCTGAGGCCTTGGCAGCAGTCAGGCCGGACAGCTCAGAGCTGCGCAACTTGCTCCGCAGGATCAATCAGTGCAAGGCGCTCCAAGCTTTCTCGTCACAGATCAGCCTCTCTTCTCTGAGCATTTTGGAGCTGGAGCAGAACATGGGGCACCTCAAAGGTGTGAAGCTTCCAGTCATGCTTCAGGTGAAGGTGACTGGAGCCATGGCGACACAGATTTTCATGGGTCTCCCGACGAACACCAACCTTGAAGAAGTGCGTACATCTGCCAACCAGGTTGCCCACATGCTCAGTATGGACGGAGATGATTGCAGGCATCCAGGTGAATGGAATGGTTCTGATCCAGAGTTTGCAGCAAACTTTGCTGAGTCCTTCTCCCTGCTGGACCAATGCATGGATGTACTACCAGACAGTCTTGCTGGAGAGGGATCAGAAGACAAGCGACGGGACGAACACCTTCGCAGCGTTGCCACTGAGTGCAATCTTGCCATGAAGGCTGGGTTGGGTGTTCCTTTTCGATTGTGTTAGAAAAACTAGTTTCAGTTCGACCTTAGTTTCTACAAAGCCTACTACTCACTACTACTCCCACACCCACATTCTACCATGCCACTGCCTCCCATTCGATTGCCCCTATGGCAGGTGATGGGAACCCTGCTGTTGGACATTCTCAAGTGCGATGCGTTTTTGAAGATGTGGCGCAAGCCGGAGGAACACAAAGATCATTTGCAGCAGTTCATGATCAGCATCTATGCAGTCATGCCAAGCAGCAAGTCATTTCTCAGCAAGACCACTGAGACACCGCAAGGGATTGAGTTAGATGAATATGTTCCAGAATTTTCCAAATTGGTGTCGTCTTGGGAAAGAATTGATGTGATCTTCAAGTGCATTGACTTTGCGTGGTGTTTGTCCGTGACCTCTCCTTTTGAATCTCCAGCGACCCCAGCTGATGTGCTGAAGATCACTGCCTACAAGGGGAAAGAACCACTTGAGACCATGCTGCAGGACATTTCGATCATCAAGTAGACATGTGTGTATGAACACTCCTTTCTCACAGAATAGTAGTTTTAAGATTCAAGATGATACCACACTGGTCACCATATGTAGGGCCACAAACATCAGCCACCACCGCTGCGAACACTGAAATCATTCACTTGTCACTTGTCACTTGGCATTTGTCAATCATGGCAGGACCTTTGCAAAGACGAGCCTGGGTGGAAGCTAGCCTGCGATGAGATCCTGCGCACTGCCACGTCCACCACGCGTCTTCGCCCAACTTTCGAAAGAGTGATGGAGGTACTGCGTAGAGAGTTTGCTGAACCACCTCCTACAACCAGCATTTCCAACCTTCGTCTCAAAGAGTTGTGTCAGGATCTCCTCTCCTGTCGTGAAGGAATGCGAAGGCAAGAGGTGAAAGAGGGAGAGGACATGTGCGTGCGTCTCCTTCGTGACCGCGCTTCTGAACTCTTGTCGCTTGACCCAGACACAGTGATCGCACAGAAGCTGAGGACCAAAGACATTCAAGCCTTGTTGTCTGGTTTGGCAGGCTTCACAGCCTTTCCGAATGTCCTCAATCTTATCAAGGAACTCCAGACATGGCTTGGTGAGCAGTCCAAGCACATGGCTTGGTGTGACTTTGTAGACTGTGCTGTGGAAGCTGGTCGGGCAGAAACCGTGGACCTTACCGAGTTGGGTGAACTGATGTCCCGGTTGGACAGCCACACCATTGACCAGGGCGACTTCCTGGATTTGCTCTACGTTGGCCTGATGCTGACGATGGCCCTGAGGACATTTGTTACAGAGGTGTGCGGTGTGCACAGTTGGGTTACATGTTTATACAGTCAAAAAACATCAAACTCTAGTCAGGTGCACCTTCCTAGTCAAGTCACACAACTTCAAACTTCCAAATTCAAGTTCGCAAGGGCATGAATTCTGAGTGTTATCTTGGTAATATTTTGGTAGATACAGCAAAGAGGCCAAGGGTTATTGGTAGGTAGAGGATTGTGTGGTGTATCCAAGTAGCAGTAGCAGGAGTAGCAAAGCTAAAGAACAGCAGGCGTGCCAGGCACGCAAGTAAGATACCGCCAATTTTTTTAATGTCAGAAAAGCGCCGCAGGCTAATCTCCAAGAATCATTGTGCTACAACTCATTGCTGGGTGAAGTAATTTGATATGTGTATACAAGCTCAATATTTATGACTAGTGCCACCAGCAGCCAGCAGCCACCAACCTTTGGTTTGGCTGTGTTGCTGAACATTGTCATTTGCAGGTTCGACAAGACCCTTGTCAGATGACCCGGCAACTCATGCTCCACCGTTGCGCTCTGTTGCAGAAGGTTGCGGACTTTGGCTACCACTCCAGCCATCCAATAGCTCAGCTTCTTCTTCTTCATTTGGAGATCTTGAAAGCTGGAACAGCAATGGCCCAAGCCCTTGACAAGTTAAAGGGCGCGCAGAAGAGCGACGAAGGCAAACTCACCTTGCTGAAGAACCTTATCAAGCAGGCGGATCTCCTGCACAAGCAGAAGGAACTTTTTGACCTCAAGATGCCTTTGCCAGATCCACATCCCATGGACCGTGCAGACACACCTGGTGAACAAGCACCTCCAGCTCCTGAAGAAACCGCTGGGGAGGACAAGGCTCCTGAAGAAACCGCTGGGGAGGACAAGGCTCCTGAAAAAACCGCTGGGGAGGACAAGGAGAAGGAAAGCCTCAGCCTCGACTTTGGCGGCGTGGATGTGGGTGAGTGGGCTCTGGTTCTGGCTGATCCTTCTGAGGAGACCATCGAGAATGAAAAGGGTGGCATGGAGGATGTGGACATGGACGCACCTGGTGAAAAGCAAGCTGCAGCGAAGGTTTCCTTGGAGGAACTTCCTCCTGCTGAGCTGCAAAAGAAAGCCGAAGAGAATGTGGACCGAATCCACCAGGACTTCTTTCAGATTGACTCTTTCAAGTGCTTCCACGACATGCTCTTTGGTGGTGGCCAGGACTTGTTTACAGATACTGTTCTCCAGCAAATTTCTGGACACAAAGGACGACTGGTGGATGCCTCTTCAACTGTGAAGAAGAACATTGCCCCAGCACTCCCACTTTCAGATCAGCCATGGAGGACAGAGATCACAGGCGACAGTCCGAAAGAGGATGCTTTGAGTGCCGCGGCCAAGGGTATGATCAGCAAGATCCTTGTGAAAGGTGAGCCGTTTATCAAAATGGTGGACACTTTGCACCAGGACAGGATGCCTGGATACCTTGGGCCAAGTAACTTGAACCATAACCATAACCACCCCATGTGTTTTTTCCTTGTGTGTGTTTGGGCAACGGTTGGCTAGCATAGTTGGAAACAGTATCTCAGTATTGCAGAGCCAAAGAATTCAAGCAGGAATTTGTTGATTATCACAAGCCAGCGCGACAACTTCTGAAGCTCCCTGAGGCTGAGTTGATTAGATTCGCATGGATCTAGAAGAGTATAGTACTGTACACTATACTCAACTAGATACTGGATCCATTTTTCAATCTTGCTTTCAAGTTCTGGCCATTTCTCAGAAGTACATTCCTTGCTTTAAGCCTTGGCCCTCTAACACTCTGGGCAGTTGACATGACGACGAGCTCACATAATTTGCACCAGAAAAAAGCATCGTTAAAATTATTTGTTTGCTACGTACTTTTGACTTGTGGATTATTGCTCTATTTTCACCTTACTGTATTAGGATATGGCAAATGTTTTTCCTCACCACATACCACGCTCTGTGGAGGAACGTGAGAAATGTATGGAGCTCGTTGCCCTGATCGGCGAGAACAAGATCCAGTATCCAGAGCACAGTTCGATCCCAGCTACGCTTTCTGAGCTTAAGCAATGCATGACCAGCTCTGGTGAAATCTCATGTCTAGGCCGTACCATTTTGGTTGAAACGGTGTTGGTGTTGGCTTTGAAAATTGTCGTGGAGACCAGTGATCTCAAGGATCCAGACAAAAGGGCAAAGGCCATGGAACGTGCCAAGCAGCTGATTCGCGACCAAATTGCTGTCGTGACTCAGGGTGTAGATGGTCTGAGCCCGGGTGATATTCAACCAGGACTCTGGACCATGGCGAATGACATCCTGAAGTGATGTTCCTTAGGGAATCTGTGTCAGCAGGCTAACTGTCAAAAGGCACGGGGTAAGTTCGTGGCACCTAAACCTCATTGCTAGACCTGCAATTATAGGTGCACTTTTCATACATCATCCATGCATGCATGCATACATTCTCCCATCATTATCCATCCATCCATCCATCCATCCATCCATCCATCCACCCACCCACCCACCCACCCATCCATCCGCCCACATGTGCATCACACCACATCACCTCACACCACATCACGCGACATACCTCGACAAAACACAAAACGTAAGACAACAGAATATCAACATAGCATACCAAACCATCAAACCCAAGATGATTTAACATATATAACATAGACAAGGCTGCATATCACACAACTAAACATCACATCGCGCCACACAACACAACACACACACACAGAGAGACAAACATAACAAACATGTTTGAACATAGGTACTTATACAAAGGAATACAGCATGCATCGTACATACGACATACATGCATACCTGAACTTGTTTTTTTTGGAATGCTATCCCATTTTGATATTACCTCGAGGAGGTCTACTTCAGGTCATTGTTTCTAATCCAATTGCATGTGAGGGGATTCAGTTCCCAACGGCCAACGGATCACTTCAATGATCCATTTCTTGTCTAGTGTGTGGGGATATCTGCTGCCAGCCGTGCCGGTGGGTCATTTTTTCATTTTTTTCTGAAAGTTCCACAATTTCATGTGTTGCGCTCACACACAAACACATCGCATGCCAAATATCGCTGCAAACATCTGCAGGCCATTGCCAAACCTGCAGTGCCATTCCCCACTGTTATTTTTCTGATAAGTGAAGTGGTTTCTCCTGCATCAAGAAATGGATCACCCCACGTTCTATGTGAATCTCATTTATCCAAATGCTAACATCCCCATTTTGGGGAAATGACATGATACAATATAATATAATGACTCCATGAGTTTTTTTTCCAAACTTAATGGCTGCCAGGCGACTACCATGTGTGAATATATTTCACCGACTCTTACTGATGCTACTAAACAGCAAGGCTGGATGTTGACATGTCTTGGTTCATCCCCATGCCATATCATATCAGATATTAGAGTTTTATCCCCCCCATGGCAGTTCCTTACATCCTCTTAAAAGGCTATTAGTTCTGGCTTAAACCACAGGATATTCCCCAAAGATGAAGGTAAAATGTAATATTGTGAGTCAGTACAATGCTCAGTACAACCATCTCCCCTACATGTTTCTGATAACGCAAAAACTGCAAAAGTGCATCTATCTCTAGCACCATGCCACCTTCAATGATAAAACTCAGTGAATGATTCCTTCCCCATTCAGGGTGCGCAGCCATGCATGCATGCTTGCATACACATATACAGTTGCATATACATTTACATAATCACATAATCATTGTCTCATGTCCATATACATATGCATATACACATTTGTATTTACATTTACATATTTGCACGAATGCACACACACATTTATATATATATACTTACACACCAAAATATATCTTTACATGTTTTACATCAACTACATTCCCACATATATTGACATATATGTCCATACACTTACATATATATATATATATTTATTTATTTATATATATACATACATACATATTTACACATTTACATGTATACATATACATATTCGCAAATGAATATGCATATGTGTTCATTCTTTTTGTGCTGGATGTTCCGGAATTCTGCTGACCAGAGCGCATCATGGCGCTGGACTTAGTCCAACAACTCTTGAAGCATCTGAGTTGCTTCCCTCCAGCAAGAGACAAAAAACTTCATGCGCCAGGGTCTTGGATTCAGAAGGTGCATGGGGTTTATTCAAGCAGGTGCATTTCTGAAAAGGTATTCCCAAAGACCCTTTCGCAGCTGCATTTTGCAGGTGCAATGTTGTTGCATTCTGGGGATTTAGACTTTCTCTACAATTGCTTGTCATAAGGCTACAGTAATGACATCTATAATTTCGATCAACCCCCCGCCCAGTAACAGCAGATAAATGATTTTCCTTTAACCTACCCTTTCAAAACGAGCACAAGGAAATTGCTCCAAAATCTCGGCTAGGAGGTGCCTAAAAAAATCGTCAACCTGCCCTCCAAACCTCTGATACAGAATTCAGAATTCAAGACAGGGGCTTCACTTTCAAGATCCTTCAAGCATATCAGTTGCATTCCAACATTGAGAATGAAGAGCGCAGACTACAGACAATACATTCATGTGTTACCCTGAGAAGGTGCGAGCAAAGCGTCTGCATCGAAGCAAGGACTAGAACATATTGTGAAAGGATTTGGCCGCTTGATGCAACTGGCACAATGCACCGTAATGTGCTCAACCATGGAGTCAGATTGGCCATGTGGGAAAATGGAAATGTTATATACTTGGCAACCATCCTAAACTTTAAATTCTAAACCCCGAGCCCATTCGAACCCTAAATCGCAAAACTTCATTGACGCGTAAGTACCAACCGCCAAAACCAGCACAAGCCAGACACAAAAAAAGCACAAAAAAAACATAAAAAAGCACAAAGAAAAGCAAACAAAAAAGCACAAAAAAAGCACAAGGAGACTGCAAAAATAATTGCGAAAAAAATGAAGAAAACTAGGCCGGGCAAGGAAAGGTCCAAAGGGACGACAAAACGAGCACCAGAGGGACCACAAGAAAAGCACAATTTGAGCACCAGCCGAGCACAATTTGAGCACCAGCCGAGCACAATTCGAGCACCAGCCGAGCACAATTTGAGCACCAGCCGAGCACAATTTAAGCACCAGCCGAGCACAATTTGAGCACCAGCGGAGCACAATTTGAGCACCAGCTGAGCACAATTTGAGCACCAGCCAAGCACAATTTGAGCATCAGCCGAGCACAATTTGAGCACCAGCCGGGCACAATTTGAGCACCAGCCGGGCACAATTTGAGCACCAGCCGGGCGCAATTTGAGCACCAGCCGAGCACAATTTGAGCACCAGCCGAGCACAATTTGAGCACCAGCCGAGCACAATTTGAGCACCAGCCGGGCACAATTTGAGCACCATCCGAGCACAATTTGAGCACCAGCCGAGCACAATTTGAGCACCAGCCGAGCACAATTTGAGCACCAGCCGAGCACAATTTGAGCACCAGCGGAGCACAATTTGAGCACCAGCCGAGCACAATTTGAGCACCAGCCGAGCACAATTTGAGCACCAGCCGAGCACAACCGAAAACAGTAAAACCAAAAAAGTCAACTGCGCCAGCCTCAGCCCCAGCGCCAGGCCCAGCCCCAGCCCCAGCGCCCCCAGGCCCAACCCAACCACCCCAGCCCCCAGCACCCCAGCCCAGCCAGGCCCAGCCCCAACCCCCCACCCTTGCGTTTGGTGGTGGTGGTTGTTGTGGTGGTGGTGGTGTTGCTGCTGCTGCTGCCGCTGCTGGTACTGCTGGTTGTGGTGGTCGTGGTGGTGCTGTCGCTGGTGGGGGGCGGTTGTTGTTATTGTTGCTAGTTCTCACATTGCTAAGGCTGTTACTAAGAATTGCTACTGCTAAGGTTTCCAACGGAATGTTGGTGATAAGTTGGCCAGTTCCTAGCAAATCTGTAGCAGCCAGAGCCGAGAAGAGAGAAACAGACACCTGTGCAGCTTGATTCCTTCCGATTCACATGAAACATTTTTTCAACCATTTGATGATTTACATATTCATGGTGTCTACCTGATCCTTTTTTTGGTTTTGGTATAAGAATTTATCCGTATCATATTACCAGATTAGACCCTTATTTTCTGCATTTGGCTGGTGCTCATGTTGTGCCCCTGGCTTGTGCTCACTGTTACTGCCCTGGGGGTAGATCAAATCTATAATCACTAGCAGTGGCACGAGCTAACCCTGTGGTTTTTGCTTCTCATGGACATCTTTGATATGACGCTATCCACTTGCTCACTTCAGATTCAGATATGTGATCAGCTTTTAATCGCTCAGATGAGGTTGCAGTTGGAAAATGACGATACACATTCGCCATTCATGGCACCTCACCTTGATACAAACCCTTCAGGATACGTGTGTATCACAAAAATATCATCCCGGTAAAGCCCGATGTTCAATGGCCATGCAACAGGAACCGATTTATTGTAGGCACCTACCATTAGTTTAGGTATATTTTTTAGGCCTATGTAAGGGAATATCCTCACAAAATATGATCTTGTATAGTACAGTACCTCCATTTTAGGATCCTGAACATTTCAAAAGGCTGATGTCCCATATGGCATATGGGGGATTTCTTCAAATGGGGGTACCCCAATAGCCGGATGGTTTATCATGGAAAATCCTACGAACATGGATGATTTCGGGGTACCTCGATTTTAGGAAACCTGCAGGTAGTACGTTGTCTTACCCTCCGGTAATTTAACATAACGACGGAAAATCACCATATTTAATAGGTAAATCAACTATGAATGTGCCATGTTCAAAAACTATGTAACAAATTACCAGAGGGTAGCCTTCATTGAAAACAATAATATACCATCCCCAAAATCACCATAAATGGATGGTATAAACCATCAAAAATGTGGTGGTGTATTAATGTTTTGCCAACATTAATAGCCTTCATTGAAGTTGTAAAATTATCTCGTTGGTGGTTTGGAACATGAATTTTATTTTTCCCGATAGTGGGAATCATAATCCCAACTGACGAACTCCATCATTTTTCAGAGGGGTAGGCTCAACCACCAACCAGTTATCCAGTGACTGATGAGTCGGTGAACTTTCGACGTTTGATGGGATGACACCAACGGTCACCTCGCCTAGGATGCTCTGATGCGAGAATATCCCCAGTCGGATTTCTTCAGGACTGATGCAGTGAGTGTTATGGCCCTCTACTAGTTAGAAGTTGAAATGGTTTTAAATTATTATAAATGGGGTTGTTATGCCATAAGTTGGGTGACTTACTGACTTATAACTGGTAAAGGGCCTTTACTGCAGTGATTAACTGCAGTGTTGAACACATTTGCTG